GAACTGTGAGCTCAAGCTTTACCATGTTGGGTTGTGGCTCACCAACCTCCGTGTAAATCATTAGTTTTTGCGATATATTAATAGCGATGCTTCTACTTGCCTTTGTAACTCACTGATTTGCTTCATCTTTACAACAATCACCTGCAAACTCCCCCTTAGCCATTAAAAAAACAACAATATCAGTTTTACATCTCTTTTGATCTCTATACTATTAATTTATTATTACTATTATATACGATCAAAAGGTAATCAGAAGTGAACATATTTAGCAGGTGAAATTGAGTTTTATTTGTAAAGTATTTATGTATTCCATTTATTAAACAAATTTGATTAAGCATTTAAAAAATTTAGAGAAATTAATTTTTATGTATTTAGAGATGTAAAACTGATATTGTTGTTTATTTTAAATGCTTAATCAAATTTCAAATTACTGAACATTTTTATATATGGTAATAATAGTTGGCACTATCATTATTAGCCGCTATCATTAAAGAAAAACGGTTAATAAGGAGAAATTAAGTGCGAGTTTTATGGGAGTTTGAGTGAACAGACTTTTTTAAATTTCAAAGTACTGAACATTTTTATATATGACAATAATAGTTGGCACTATCATTATTAGCCACTATCATTAAGGAAAAACGGTTAATAGGGAGAGCTAAAACATTTCAATAATATCAATAATTACTTTATGAGACATTATTACTAAAAATCAGTTATAAGTCAAATCTCATATAAATATGTTCCATACATAGCTTCAATCCTACCAAATCTTACCAAAGAAATAACAGAGAACACGAGGATACGGAAGCAACAATTTGTGATTCAAAGAGGTTAGTTAAAGCATGTTTTTTATGAACATAATAGGATACTTTTTCATAAAGAAATTCAAATATTTTTTTGGATCGAAACCAACGAAATTCAAATATCAAAAGTCTTGGATATACGAGAGGATATTATTAAAAAAAATCTATATTCTTACCTAAATAAATTGTTTGTCTAATTAACTGTACATATTCCCTGAATAATAAGTGTGCAAATTCAATATATATATGAATATAAATTGTTTATAAAAAAAATTTATAGAGTAAACCTTTAAATTTTTAAAACAACCTTGAAACTTCATAATTTTAGAGATATGCCATAAAATTTGCGGAAAGGACCTTGAAATGTCACAAATAAACCTCATAAAAGATTATATTTACTCTAGGATTTTAATGATAAAAAATAGCAAAATATCCTCAAACTACATCTAACACCAAACTTATTATAAAAAAGCTAAACATAGAATTAATCCGACAACGTGCAACGCACGTGCACTATACTAGTTTACTTAAATGGGCCAATTTACAACATATCAAAGGGCTACCATCAATGTTGAAAAAGGAGGGGAAAAAATGTATAAGTTACATTAAAGAGGATGTATTAAGTGGTATTTCGAACGATTGCTATTATGCTAATGATTTCGAAACATGAAGACATGTGGGGGTCAATTGTATTTGTATCTAGTTAAATATTTTTTTGTATCTCATTAAAATTCTTGAATATACTGAATGTGACAGAAAAATTAGCAATGTCATCTTTTTATGTATATTGTGACATCACAGTTATGAATTTCTAGCTCCGCTACTGGCTATTGGTCATTGATGCATATTGGCGAATGGTCGCCCGATATTATTGTTTGTCAATGCTTGTTATGGGCACCATTAAGGTAGCAGGAAAAATCAGTTAAATCCATCAAACGGTCAAAATGTAAGATGGGCAAAATCTTCTAAATGTCTCTCCATAAATTGATTGCGTGCGGCGGGCACAGGGTGAGCGTGTGTGAGAAGAATAGCATCATATGTACACAGGCACACAAGCATCCTTATTTCAAAGAAAAGTCAAACAATGATGCTAAAATTTTATTTGCGGATCAGACTATTACTTCAAATCTGAATTAAGTTTTAAGGTTTACAACGACAATACTCAAACTAGTACAATTAGTCAATTACTCCATGACACTTTGTTTCATTTATTATTGACTAGTATTCTGGTGACATTCCTTTTCTCTCTCTCTCTCTCTTTTTTTTTTAAGATTGAGAGCGTTGTCGTTGATTTTTTTTTATAGGCGTGAGGGGCATTTCTACTAAATTTTTATAAGCATGGCCACTTTTAGTTCCCTTTTCTCAAAATATGAGCGCATTTTTCGGAGTTATAAAAAAGGTCACAAAGCCAAAGGGTTGCTTCATTCAAATAATAGTATAGATCACAATTTTGATTTGTTTCATTTTTATTTTTCTAAACGTGGAGGATAGAAAAGTAAGGAAAGAAGTGTAAAATAGATTTTTTTGTTACACTAACGAGTTTGATAGACTAAAGGATTGGGGTTAGTATACTGCATCTTCATAAGAGTGATTAAAGACTAATGGGGGTAACTATTGGGAAATAGTCTTGTGTTTGAGTTCTAGAAGACATTGGAAGAGCCAAAAAAAAAAAAAGCAGAGCCCTAGAAGATATTGGAAGAGCCAGAAAAGAAGCGGGACATGAAGCGAGGCAAAATGGTGAAAACGAGCAGTGGCATCAACCAGTTTGACTAGCAGAATTGTTTATCGATATACCGGCCCATCAGACCGGTTTGGGCTAATGTTCTCTAATTTGGTCTATTTTGAAATTCTATTTGGGTTAGGAATCCTATTGGATTTTATATCTGATATAGGGCCTATGAAAGATCTCTTGTAGGTCTAGAGTTTAATGTACCAATTAAAGCCAAGGAGAATTGCATATTGTAAGAGAGAAGTAAGAAGAGAAATTAATCTAGGATTTTGAGAAATATTTTAGTAAGATTGAGAGAGGGTTTATTATAGGATCTGTCAAGATCAAAAGAAAGATTGTATCTTTGTAACATGTAGAATAAAAAAGACTCGAATCTCTTACAGTGGACGCAGGCAATTGTTAACCCACGTAAATCCCATATCTTTATGCTCTTGAATTATCTTCTGCTATAATTGTTTGTGTTTCTTTTAAGTTAGAATAGGTTTCTTTGAGTTCCAGATTGCCAGGTGATTGATTGTTCTACAAAAGGTAGTAGATCTAATTGAGGTGTTCAGTAAAGCTTTCACAGGCTATGCTTTCATGTAAAATGTTAATTGGTGTGTAATGATCGGTGTCAGGTTGTGGTGGGCATGTGCTAACAATTGATATCAGAGCTACATTTTGATTAGATCACACTTGTCTTTAAAAAAAGGTCCAATGGTGCAGCATGAAGATGAAAAATTCTTCAGTGATGAAAATCGAGATCGAAAACTTCGATGGTAAGGTATTTTGGACTTTGGCAAAAAAGGATGGAGGCTATCTTAGTTTAACAAGACCTAGAACAAGCTTTACTTGGAGTTGACAATAATCCAGGGAAGGTGACGAGTGACGCATTGTTGAGGTATCGGATCAGAGGGCCCAGAGTGCAATTCTACTCTCTTTTCATATAAGGTACAATATCATATAATTGGGTAGAAAACTACACTTATGGTCAGTTTGGATAGAGAAGAGGGTACAAGATGGGGATAGTCGAATGAAACCCAAAAGGAGGGAAATGAGAGGGAGTGTGATGTAGCTAATTATGTTTGGATAGACAACTAGGGAATGGAGGTGGAGGGAGAGTGATAGAACTAAATTGTGTTTGTTTAGAGTATAAAATAGGAAGGAAAGGGACCAATTCACTTAAAATCTAGCCTCTCCCCTTCCAATCGATCCACTTTGAGAGGGTTAAGTAAGTGAAAAAATATGCATCTTTTTAACCCTCACAATCTGTCCCCTCACTTACTAAAAAATATGAATAAAAATAATTTTAGAATGGTTAGCATTGTAATCTCCTCAGCTCCTCCCCCTCCTCTTAGGAAAGCTGTCCAAACCCGTCATGAGTATGTGGCAGAAACTTGAGGAGTTGTACAAGGCTAAGAATCAATTTGAAACACCTACAAAAATATTCTTCGCTTTGTCTTACCTTTACGAGGTTTCGGTATGTGAGAGTAATAAATAGATTTCTTTTCCCATTTATTTTTAGTTCTTTTTCCAATTTTTGTCACGAACGGAGGCAAAAAAGGGCACACTGTTCCGAAAATCATTAACTAATGTAGTAAATATTGACCTCAAAGTGCTTATTTAAGTTGATAGTCTGTATTATATCACAGTTAGTATGACACCAGCTATAGAAAATGAAACCTCAGGAAAACCTGATACCTAACAGTCAACAGTCTCTCTTCCCTTCAAGTCCCCAGCTCCAAGCTTTTCCTCAAAACTGACAGTACCCACTCACTGGCCATACTACTATGTCACGAAGAAAGACTGTCAGTTAAGTTACTTCGCTCATCCAAGACTTATGTGGACGGTATATATGCAGTCTGTCTCTCTGTCCCACATCTCTTAAATCCCCTCCAAAGTTTCACCTTCACTCCTTCCTCAGCCCTCACTTCACCAAAATTAATGCCTTGTCGCGAGCCGCAGCAGAACTGTGCTCGAGAACTAGCCCCTCTTCTTGCGTGGATATGTGGCATGTAATTCTATAATCTCTTTCTTCGTTCACCATAATGTACTCAATTTGTCATTAGTTTCTAACACTCTTGTTTTCTGATGTTAAGAGCAGTTGCCTTGGCCCTTCGTCACGGATGCTATGGAGACAGGCAAATGGCGGTAGGCCCAAATTCATCCAGAATGGTCAAGGCCAGCTCTGTTTTCGTGGATGAAGTTCGAGTGGAAGATGAGAAACAAAAGGGAATGTTGTTTTATGGGTTCGTCAAACCACCAGAGCTAAGTGTGGACAGGAACTGGACTATACTGAAACATCTCTTTGTAGACTCTTATAGTCATGAGGTGCGATTCCTAATGATACAAGGTTCCTGGTGTTGACTATATTTGACATTCTGTTATTGTTTTTCTAGGGAGTTTCTTTATGGTTGAATGAAGGTTCTGTGATTTGGATGGAATGGGAAGTAGTGCCTCATGATGGGGGGAACTACAAAGACATGCTCATGGTTGTACTGAAGGGTAAGTAATTGGATAAGGGGAACCTATATTTGCTATTTATTATGATTCAGTTTGTTATGTTTCGAGGCACTTCACTTCGTGTGTGTTGCTCTTCGCAGGAGAGCAGAATGTGAAGGAGTTGGAAAGGTTTCACAGGATGTTCAGTTTTAGTATGAGCGACGTCGCAGATGGTAGGTAACTATGTTTGCAATCTAATCTGGAGAGAGATGACTTGCATTTTGTTCATTATAATACAGCGAGCACTTAACTTACTGTTTGTTAAGATCGGTATCTTAATATATTAGCCTAAGGTTTCAAGTATCACAAGGTACAATATTTTAATTCAACTTAACTTCCTTTTGGGAAATAAATATAATGTTGATCATTAAATTGTTGAGGTAGTAAGATTTGATTATCTTCTGGGTGAATTACGGAAAATCCCCTTATGTAAAAAATAACAGTAAGTTATGAAGATGACTCTTGGTTTCTAATTTTCAGGCACTAGGAAAGCGGAGTATAGAGTTATTGAAGATAATAGCTACTATATTGGCATTTTAAACTTGAGTCCATGGTACATGGTAACCAAATTAAAGATTGATGTGTCATCCAAAATGTATGATACAAGTGAAGCGGCAAGCATTTGTTCAACTGACGGCGGCATCTGCAAGTTGATGTGAGCATGTTGATGTGAGCAATAAGACCAAGGTAAAGTTTGGCACCTCTATTCACCGTGCTAAGGGTCGTTCTGGAGGAGTTCACGTGGATGTTTGGGGGCCTTCCAAGGGGTATCATTGGGAGGTAATAGGCGTTTGGTTTCCTTTGTTGGTGACTATTCTAAGCATGTTTGGGTTGCAACAAAATCCCCATTGGAGAAAGTCCTAGTAGTCTTCAACAGTTTGAAGAAGTGTAAGATGGACAGAAAGATGAAGGCACTTTATTCTGATTTTGTTGGGAGGTACAAGATGAACCTATTTCTGTATTGGAGCCGAGCTCACGGTATTTCGAGACACTTCATTGGAAAGGAAATCTTGGGGCAACTTGATAGGGTGGCAAATTCGGAGAACCGTGCCTTGTTGGAGGAGGATCGGTGTTTGTTATCAAGCAATGGTCTGCAGAAGAGTGTCTGGACTGAGGCTTCGACATATTTTGGTCATCCTATTAAAGAGTTGTCACCTGCTGTGATTGGAGGTAAAACTCCATTAGAAGATAGGTTTGGTAGTGTCACTTTGGTTGAGGCTTCGATGAGGAAGCCAATTGACTCTCAGCAGGTGGAGAGTTTTGGACAGACCTTAGATGTATCGCAGCGTGTGGAGATGGATGCTACTCCACATTGGGTGAAGATTACTCCAGATCATACTGTATTGTTTGGGATTCCAGCTGAGGTGACACAGCTTAGGGATCATTTGGATGTGAGTGCAGATGATGAGTTGGGTTTTGATTCGAATGCAGCTGATAGATGTAATTTGGATATGGCTATTGGTTCACCTCAGGTGGAGGTGTTTGAGGCCATTGGAGGTGCTATCAGTCGCAAAGTTGATGATATTGAAGAATGGTTGCGAACTCTTCTATTGGATTGAGGTCGTTCGTGGCCATTTGGGTGAACTACGTTCGGCTTGATTCCTTGGGCAAGAGGATACGTAGGCAGTCTTTACAATGCAGCCGGTTTGGATTTTGATGGGGGTGAGATCGATTTGGTGAGTTGATACCGATAATTGGAGAGTGTTCGCATTCTCATTTGGGTTCTCGACTTGTTGTGGATTGAGTCCGTTATCGTGAATTGTTTCACTTCGTACTGGACACAACAAGTAGGATATTTGGTTGCTTTGGTGTCGGCTCAGTTTTGTGAAAACTTCACCGAGGTGGAGAATTATTGGATTGAGACGAGGTGGGGGCCACTTTTCGTGTGAGGTGTTGGGGTGAACACGACTTTCCGTGTGAGATGTTATCGTGAACACGTGAAGAGATAGGCTAAGATCCAGCAGCAAATGGGAGGATAGGCTAAGATCCAGCAGGCGAAAGCAAACCGCATGGGAGGATTTTCTAAGATCCAGCGGGCGGTTTTCTTTGTGAGGCCCATTATTCGGTCACGATCTCCTATAAATAGCCATGCTAGGGTATTTTGCAGAGGTGTGCAAGATTGAGGGGGGAAATTGATTGGCGGCTGCAGCAGTGCAGAGGCTGGGAAAAAGGCAACGAACAGAGGCTTGGACGGCGTGCAAAAGAGGGTTTGTGCAAGTATTGTACAAGGAGAAGTTTGCAGCTGTTCTTTGGGTTGTTTGGCGGCTGTTCTTGGGTTTTGACGACTGTACTTTGGTGAGGGGTTTGAGAGTATTTGTTTGAGGGTTTAGATTGAGTGATTGTAAACCCTAGTTGTATTCTCCCTCTCTAATAGTAGATCTCCCCCTCCTTGCCTCGTGGACGTAGGCAGTTTGCCGAACCACGTAAAATTAGTTTGTTTGTGTTTGTGACCATTGTAATAGTTTTTAGGATCCCTCGACAAGTCAGTCCTAGAACAGATGAGAGGAAGAGCCGATATCTTACTTTGTTAAGATATTCGCTTTAGATTCTTGTTTCCTTGGTGAGATAAGAATTTTTATTGATCATTCTCTCTTATTGTGCACCAGAAACTTTGCCGAAATTTCCGCTGCGCACAACATGAAATTACATTATAACTCCTGCTACTGGACAATGTGAATTGGCCATATGAATTTTATAAATTCGCTCTTCGACACTATTTCTCAATCTCATCGGCACCTGCACTCGGGGTGTAGTTTGCAATAATGGTCTAGTAAATATTTTCCAGATTTTAACCTTTAATTTCGGACATTTTGAAGTTATCTGTTGTTTGCTCATTCTACCACTTATTTTCAATGGTTACTTATTTTAAGATGAAGGCAAAAGTAGCATACACGCATTGCATTCACCATAGATTTTAGAGTAAACTTGAATTAGGCACATCTATGGTGTATTATTGTACTAATTTATTTTTAATTACTAATCAAATTCATCCAATATAATATTTTATTGGGAAAATTGCTAATTCCTAAAAATCCCATTTTACCTCTCCGAAATCCTATTAGTTCAGCCTGAAAGTTTGCAGAAACCCCACTAAAAGTTACAGAAAACCCCCTGAAAGTTTGTAGAAAACCCTCTAAAAGTTTGCAAAAAAACCCCTGAAAGTTTACATAAAACCCCTGAAAGTTTACATAAAACCCCTAAAAATTTACATAAAACCCGTGAAAGTTTGCAGAAAACCCCGTGAAAGTTTGCAGAAAACCCTCTGAAAGTTTATAGAAACCCCCTGAAAGTTTGCAGAAACCCCCCAGAAAGTTTGTAGAAAACCCCCTGAAAGTTTGCATAAAAACCCCTAAAAGTTTACAGAAAACCCCTTGAAAGTTTACAGAAAACCCCTGATAGTTTGCAGAAACCCCCTGAAAGTTTACATAAAAACCCTAAAAGTTTGTAAAAAACCCCCTGAAAGTTTGCAAAAAATCCCCTGAAAGTTTACAAAAAAACCCCTCAAAGTTTGCAGAAAACCCCCTAAAAGTTTACAAAAACCCCCTGAAAGTTTACATAAAATCCCTGAAAGTTTACATAAAATCCCTGAAAGTTTACAGAAAACCCCCTGAAAGTTTACAGAAAACCCCTCTAAAAGTTTGCCAAAAACCCCTGAAAGTTTGCAAGTAGATCCCTGAAACTTACATATATATAGAAGCATCATAATCATAACTAAATGGATTATTGGGTCACCCATGAATCACCCATTTAGTAAATGGGTGGTTGAGAACTGACTCATTTAGCAAATACTAAATGGGTCAAAAATGGTTAAGTGGTTATAAATGTGCCCACCCATTTATGATCCAACCAAGACCCAACCAAAACCACCCATTTGACATCCCTAAGTTCAGGGCTATAAGAAGTAAAGCACCTTTTTTCCCTCCTCGTTATCAAACTCCATATTGTTTAGTTTCTTCATCTTCTCTAAACCAAAAATTTTAAATTTTTTTTGAAATTCTCTTGGAAATGTGAGATTTTTTTCTTCTCCACTATCAATTTGGGTTCTGTGCATTCAGATCAATTTAAATGATGGCCTTCAACGGCAGTTGTTCCATGCCAAGTAGGGTATTTTGTTTTCTTATCTTTGGATGTTAGGTTTTCTGTTGTTTCTGTTTGAAGACAAATTATTTTTGTTTGGTTTAGTGGTGTTGGGTTTTGGTTGGAGTGGATAGTGTAGGAACTGGATGAGGGACACAGAGGATGTGAAAATTTGTGGTGCCCTGTAATTTCCTGATTGATGTTAATTATTTTGTGTTGAGGGTTTAACCAGAGGGATGAATAGGATAGGAGGAGATGGATGACATGCTTGGTAGATGAAAGTAATTTACCCGGAGTATGAAAGTTGAAAATTGATGCAAATTTTGTTGTTTTGTTTTGGTTGTAATATAATATCAGGCTTGTGTTGGAAACTGAATACCAAAACTTTTATTTGCTTTGGTTGTAGTATAATCGTCAGTCTTAAGTTGGATTTCAAATTTGACAGATGTAATACAAGTAAAAAAAAGTGAATGCATATGTATTAAAGGTGACAATTTGAGTATAAAAGTAAATTATAATATATATCTATAAAACTTAGGAGGAACGTACAACTTTGAAGTCACAATTTCTTTTAAAAGTCATAAAGGTACAACAACATTAACATTTAGTTTCCAAAAATCACAATTTTTCTGCACATGTCACAATTAGCATCGAAATATCACAAATTTACAAGAAGTAAAACTATTAGCTTCCCATAGTGAAAAATTAACGTACAATAAATGTGACATTTAGTGTCCAAAAGTCACAAACAAGTTCTTTAAACCGTTAATCATGTATAGTTTAAATGCATGTTGCTCAGTTGAGTCATTTAGGCTTTGTTTTGTCTAAATCTCTTCTTGGCTAGTGGTGGTTGAATTTCAGTTATATCATCTGTCAAGATTGTCTTCACAAAATCTAGATTCGCGAGCAAATTAAGTTTATAATTTCCATCGAAAACTATAAAACTGACAAATAATGCATAATCTAATAATTAACAGATAATGTTGGGGAATTTTAGTCTCCCCGCCTACTACGATTTGCGCAACTTGGAATCCAACCCACAATCAATAAGATATAAAATAATCACAATCAAGAAGAAAGAACACCGAGGTTTACGTGGTTCAATCGACCAACTTCGACTTACGTCCACGGGCAACAATACGAGAAACCCACCATGTATAAGGGAGAACTACAAGATGAACCACTCAACTCTCGTCTCTCAATCTCTCAACCTCACATACATAATCAATTCTCATATTACCTCCAAAGCCCTCTCCTTACAATCTTTTGAACGGACAAAGACAGCGAAACCCTCTCCCAATGATGTAATCTTTTGCACAGACAAAGACTACGAAACCCTCGCCTCTCGTACAATATTGTTGAATCAGGCTACGCCCTCTGCTAAACCTAGAGTACAAGAATATTTGCTCTCTCTCATTTGTTTGGTTTTTACTCTAACAATAGAAGAATATATATAAGAAAACCAAAACCCTATCTCTAGCCTAACTTCCTAATTAAAATAGGATAACAATAGAAGAATATATATAAGAAAACCAAAACCCTATCTCTAGCCTAACTTCCTAATTAAAATAGGATTCAAACT